CACAGTAAAAGATTATAAGAACTCAAAAGATAAAAGCTTAAAAATAAATAATACATTACTAAAGAGGTAGGGTTCAAAGGGGAAAAAGAAAAAAGAGGCAAAAAGCTTCCCCAGCTGGGACTCGAACCCGGAATCCGGTGTAGGAGACGTGTTCTAGCGATGTACGCCACTGATGCCGTTAAGGGTCTGCAGCAATGGCATTCACACGTACGTTGATGTGTAATCTGTACGCACCTCATCTATTGATGAATATAACTTTTTATTTAATTTTAATTTTTTAACTTAAAAAGACAATTGTCTAGGAACCACTCCCGGGTATAGGAATTCGCCTTCTGAAAATTGCATCCAGTCGATTGTGCGTTTTGGCCGGGCATAGGGGGACATACATACATACATCATACATACATGCATACATACCAATTACATACAATGACTACAATAGCATATTCATATAAATACGGTGAGAGTGAAATAATTGATTAGTTTATATGTGCGACGCTATGTCCAGAAATAGACCGATGAGGTGCGGGAGGTTTACGGAAGCCCAAATGGAGGGTCTCGAAGCGGTGATTCCAAAAAAACTGAGAGTGGTATAGTGGGTGAGGTGGCCCTGAAAATACGGCTCACGGAGCTTGAAAACGGGGAGTGGATAGGGGGGACCAACGATTACCCTCGAAGGAGCCGCGGTTTCGGTCTTATCAATGACTCACCGTGAGGCAAGTGAAACCTCCAGGACCGCAGCGACCCCCTTCCCCCCACTCCCACCACAGCACACACATGCAGAGGAACGCCCGCGCTTTCTTTACGTGGCTAGGGAAGTGATGAGTAAACGGTGAAGATCTGCGGGACGGCGGATTACTGCACCGCATCAGCCAACACCCACAGACACCTATCACCAACACCAGCAAGGCGACCACCATCACAACACACACACGCCATTCACCAAACACCACAATGCGCCACCATCACCAACCCACCAACCACCATCACCAACGACCACAAGCGCCACCATCACCAACACCACCAACACCATCACCAACACCAATCAAAGGCACCGGATCACCAACACCAACCAACACCTCACCAAACACCACAAGCGCCACTATCACCAACACCTGATCCCATACACCACAATGCGCGCACCATCACCAATACCATTCACCAACACCACAAGCGCCACCATCACCACCGATCACCACACACCATCAACAAACCCACAAGCGCCACTATCACCGCCATCACCAACACCATACACCAAACACACTGAAGCGCCACCATCACCACCATCGACGACACGCATCAGCAAACACCACAAGCGCGGCCACTATCTCACCGCCGATCACCTAACACCATCACCAACAACTAAAGCGCTACCATCACCGCCATCACGCAACACCATCACAACACCACGAAGCGCCACCATCGCCGCACCATTCACACACCCATCCACCAGCACCACACAGGCGCCACCCATCAGCAACACCATCCCAACATCGCATCACAATCACTCAAGCGCCCCATCACCGCATCATCCGCCGATCACGCGCCGATCACCAACACCAGGTCTCCGAACACACAAGGCGCCGACATCCCACCATCTCACCACACCCATTGCACCAAACCACAGAGCGCTACCCATCACCGCCGATCACCAACACTTAATCACAACACCGACAGCGGCCCACCAGTCACCACGCATCAGCCAACAACACCATGATTCACCAACGCCTACAAAGCGCCACCATCACCACCATCCACCAAACACCATCACCACGCCACAGCGCCACATCACCACCATCACCACAACCATCACACACCTATTCACCACACAAAGCGCCTATCATCACCAGCATCTGCTGCTAATGCGTTGAGGACTGCTTGCATGCTGCGGCTGGGTAGTTGCTGGCTACGGATTCTTGTTGTTGGCTGCTGCTTGCTGCTACTACACTCCTACTACTACCTACTACTACTCACTAACTACTATAACTATTACTAATACTACTACTACTACTACTACTACTAGCTACTACTACTATACTTACTACTACTATCTGATATAGCTGCTGCTGGTTGTTGGTTGCTGCTACTGATGCTGCTGCTTGCTGCTTCTGTTCTACCCTTTACTACTAGTAGTAGTAGTACATTGATCGCTGCTGCTGCTACTGATGCTGCGCTGCTTACAAATGATGCCGCCGCTTGCTTGCTGCTGACTGATGCTGCTCGCTACAACTGATGCTGCCGCGGCGCCGTGCTGTGCTACTGATGCTGCTAACTTGCTGTGTACTTGATGCTGCCTTGTCTGTTGCTGCTCGCCTTGCTACTGATGCTGTGCTGCTCGGTGGTGGTGGTGGTGCTGCGCCTTGCTGGTGCCTGCCTAAACTGAAGCCGGCTTGCTTGCATGCTGCTACTGATGCTTGCTGCTACGAGCTGATGCTGCTTGATGCAGCCGCTGCTGGCTGCTACTGATGCTCTTGCCTGTGCCGACTGATCTACTGCCTGCTGCTGTTGTTTCTGCCTGCTTACGTGATCTTGCTATCTGCTG